ATAACAGCTACTTATTAGATTAATACCTTCTTCATCGTCGTGGACTTTTGCTTATTGGATTAAATATTACAAATTAAATTCACAACCTGAGAAAGAAACATCACAATATCAATTTGTAGACTTTTCAATAGGAGAAAGAAACAGCACAAGCAATATCACTTTGGTAAATAAAGTATGCTCGAAAGTAGACAATCTCGTAAAGGTTAGAAAATAAGAAATCAAAGGTTAATGACGCTAAAGAAGAGTGGAATATATCGAGATAAGGAAATAAAAAGTGAGAAAATGGGATTGAAGAACCAGAAATTGAAGGAGAGAAGGGAGAATAGGAAAGCGAGGCTGAGATTATTGATCCAAAGACTCTTGAATTTGAAGAAGGTAAAAGTCAGAACTTAAAAGAAGGTTAAAGTGCAAAATGGAGGTCACAAGACTAAGGGTTAGTATAAGGGAAACACAACAGAATTTTTACTAAAAGTTTGGAAGTTTGGAAGGTCGACAGATAAATATTTTACTAAATATACACAAGGAGATGATCTTTTTTTTTTTTTACAATTTTGCCCTAGCTTAGTTCTTTTTCATAATTTTTCTATGAGCTTTTTAAATTCTTATAAACCATGTTTTGTAGAAAATCAAATGACTTTACATGATCGTAACATAATTGTAATATAATGTCTTAATTATCAAATTAACTTAAGCAATTGAATTACATATTTGAATGTTAAAAAAATTCATCCTAACAATATGATTAATGTATCAATGATTGATGTACATAAATAGACACATAAACTTTCCTTAACATTCATATACAATATAATCACTGGACACATTAATAAAAATATTTAATTTCAAATTAAACCATTTTTTAATACAAGTAAGTACAAAACATACCAAAAAAAAAAAAATTTTCAACAATTAATACAACAAACCACTCTTAAGAAAGCAAGAAACCTAGGTTGAAATATTTTAAATCTCAAGAAGGGCATTAAGTATTGACTTGTAGTAAAGGCTTAATTAGCCTAAAAATAAAGTTTGAGGGCGAAATTGGATAAAAAGGAAGTCTTAGGCCTAACAACCCAAAATTGCTCGTTTATCCTTGTACCTTCAGCGTCTTTCTTTACTTCCTCTGCTTCCTCTTCGTTTGTTGTCGCCGATGACCGGAGATACAGGCGGGAGGCGCCCGCAACATTAGCAAAAAGGGTACGTTTTAAACGGCAAAGAGGTTATAACTGGTGTGTTCGGCGCCGAAAACCTCCTTCCAGATGGTATTATCCATTCCCAGTGATCGCAAAAACCATCTGGAAAGTGGTTTTCGGAATTGGAGACGCTAGATGTGGCTTCTACTGCGCAGAAATCCCTTACTACTCTCATAGCCGGAGTAGTCCCCGGAGATAGTTCCAATTTCCTGGCCGGATCCATTAACTGTTGCAGTTAAGGTAAAAAAGTTCCTTTGACAATTTGTGTAAAAAAGTTTCCTTTTTCACCATCAGGTCAAGAACCATTACATTTAAATTGCAATTTACTTCTCCACATTTTACTAATTTTAGTTCCAAATATTTCAATTTGATTTTTTTTTTTTTCATTATCAACTTTCTCTTCAACCCCATTAATGCCTATCAGAAGGATGTGATCGACCGGCACCTCTCACCTCCGACTGCTGACGGACTAGCGTTTGGATGAATTGTTTGAATAATCATTTCCAGTTTGATCCAAAATGCAGGTATGTATGTATGTTTTGTGTTAAGATTCACTTACATAATTGTTACACAAAATCTTGACTATTGATCTCTCTATTATGAATGATTGATTCAGATTTACCACGATTTAAATCTTAATCTAAACAGATGAATGGTAAAGATTTTGTGGAAAGGATATGTGTAACTCATGTTTTATTTAGGGTTCATGGTTTTTCATCATCCTTTCCTCCCATGATACACAAAAACCGTTTGTTTACCTTTGTTTATTTGAGGACTTGTTTGCCTGAGATTTTAGTTGGGAGAAGGAGTAGGGATGTTGTTAGAATTTGAATTCAATAAATAGAATGATGACATGAATAAAATTGAAGTGTCTGTGGGTTTGTGCATTTTGCAAGTATGAGAAAAATACCTATCTAGAAGCATTAGTGCTATTTACGAGTTCCCTACTAGATTCAAGGATTTAAATTTGAATGGAGCTAATCAACTTGCAAAAAAAGTAGTTATGAATTTCTTAAGCTTACTCAAATAGTCTCTGCAAGTTTTCCTAGTCAATGTTGCTGGGTTGAGAACATTTTTTTGGTGACCCTTGCTTAAGCCTTCTTGTTAGAGGGTGGGGGTTATGTCTTCCTGTCATACATATGCATTCACATAATAAGACTCATTAGAATTGTTTCTACCCAAGTGGTGATGGAGAAATTCAAACCATTCTATTGATAGAATTAAGGCCTGATTTTGCTGATTTAAGTTGTGTCTCTAGTCAGTAAGGAATAGTCTTGTCAGATGATGACTGAAACTTACAGAAAATAATACAAATTGCAATTTCAGTGGTGTGAGTGTGACTTTGGTTCGCCTTTAATAACACTGGACTAGAGGAAACAGAAAGGAAAAAAGATGTGGAGAAACAATTAACGTTGGAAAATGATTGCTTAAATGACCCATTTCACTGTTAAAGATATTTCATAGAGTTAAACTAAGATAGTTGAAATTAAGTAGAGTTTTTTCCATCTGCACTTTCACTTTGTTCAAGAAAAAAAGGGGACAAAGAAGTAAGCCGCAGTGTAGGTCTTATTAGAAGTTTCAAGAGCCTAACATTAGTAACCCAATTTAAGGTTCTCATTGCCAGTTCTGATGAATTTCTTACTCTCACTTGAATAGTATTTGCAAATTTTTCTAATCAATATTGATGAGTTCGGTACATTATGGTGAGAGTGACCTTGCTCAATCAAGTTTTCTTGTTAGAGGGTTAGGGCTTATGTCTTCCTATCATATATATGCATTTACATAATAAGGCTCCTTACTAACAATTGGGGATGGATAAAATTCAAACCTTTCTTCTCGGCAAGGTTTACTTCAGTCCCTATCATTTGAGTCTTGACAATACCAACAAGAGTTTGATTGAGTTGGTTCATACTAATTTCAAAACCTTAATTTTGGGTCAAGATTAGAGTTTCAAATCCTACAACAGTTAACTCCCTATATGCCAAAAAAAAATTGAGCTTACCTTGATAGGTTCACAATTAAATAAGGAAAATGATTCACACAATGTCTACTTACAATGAATTTTACAATCCTAAGTGACAATGATAGTAATTATGATTAACTTTTTTTTTTTTTTATTTAGTGGAATGTGTGAATCTATATTTATCCACTTGATGCCATTTATATATTAGAAAAATTCATTTTAAGAAATATTGTACATGAATTAACTTTGATCAAATAAAGCATTACAAGTTAATAATGAAAAGGTAGAAATATTGAAGAGTAATTGACTTGTTATTCATATCTTTGTACATAGTACACTTACAAATCAATGAAATCAAGGAAAGAATTAAGCAAATCTTTTAGAGCATTGAGAATCAATTAAGGCAATGATGATGACTGAATCTTCTTAAAGTAGAAGGAGAGGCTTTGAATCTAGAGCAAACTTGTGGAGTGGAGTAAACATAAGTTGTGACTAAACCACTAAAAAGCTTTGTGTTTAAGATTTCTCCTCTCTTAACTTCTAATTTCTGCAATTTATTTTAATAAGATTTAATTGTTTGTTGGTTGTTTGTTCTTTGCTCATTGATTTGATTTGAAAAATTGCATAAGTTTTTGAATACCCAATTCACTGCTCTTGGGTTCCCGTCATACAGGCTAACAACATTGAGAAGATGATGGCTTAAATGACCCATTTCACTTCTGAAGTCATGAGGTAAACCTAATAATATAGTTGAAATTAAGTATAGAGTTTACCAGAAAAGCAGAAACTGAGAAGACATTGGACCTGAACGGATCCTTAAACTCCTTTGTCTCAAAGAAAAATGTTAAACAACCACGAAGGAAAAACATTAAACAATCTTAGGTGGATGCTAGGAGTGCTCTACCTATCTTGTTTTTTTCTTTTTGTGTTTTTTCATCCCCACACTTTCCTTTGTTCAAGAAAAATAAGTGGGAACAAAGAAATGACCATAGTTCAGGTCTCATTAGAAGTTTCAAGAGCATAAAATTGAAATTGATGGAATAAAAAGTTGAAAACTAAGAATGGTTTTATTTAAGACTTTGTTTAATATGGTTGTGATTTTGAGTTTCTAGTTTTGATATATTCAAACCATCAAAATTAACAATTAAAACTAAAATTAAAAATTAAAATTACCAACTTATTGGGTATAAAATTTTAAAACAAATACTTGAAACTCCAAACTTAATTAATTTATTGAACTACTTGATTATATTTTAGGGTTTCTAAGTTTTTAAGTACCAAAATAAAAAACTCAAAATTACAACCATACTAAATAACTGACAGTAATGTGTGAATGTTTTGTTAAGAAATTTTTGGCTTTATGCCCACTTGTTGCTTCCTATATTGTATTGAGCAAGGACAGTTTTGCCAAAGAATGCTGTTAGAATTTGAATTTAATGTATGAAATGAGATATGAATAAATGAATTAATTGAATTGTCTTTGAGTTTGTGCAAGTTGTAACTATGTGAAAAGTACCTATATTTATATTTTGAAGTATAAGTGCTATATACATGTTCCCTACTAGGTTTAAGGATTTAATTTTGAATGAAATGAATCGGCTCACAATGAAGTAATTGTTATGAATTTATTAATCTTAACTTGAGTAGTCTTTTCAAATTTAGTCATGAACCATTGTCACCATGTTTAGAATATCTATTGATTTTAAATAAGTAATTCTTAAGAATTTTTTTATCTTGACTTGAGGATTGTCTTTGCCAATTTATCCAACCATTTTAGCCGGATTGATTGCGTTAGAGGGAATAGTCTCTTTTCATTGTCAATTAACTAGGGGTGGGCACAAAACCCGCAACTGATCGGGCCACCAACAACCGACCCGAAAAAATGGTATTCGGTTCAGGCTTAACGGGCTTCGGGCTCAAATATTCAGTTTCGAGCTTGGCCCGATCTTAAACGGGTCGGTGTTCGGTTGCTAATCCAAAAACTGAGCAACCGAATAATAAAACCGAATAAGAAATATATAGGTTTAAGTACCATTTTGGTCCCTCAACTTTTGACTTTGGCACCAAAATTGTCCCTCACCTTTAAAAAGTACCAAATTTATCCTTGAACTTTCATTTTTGGTACCAAAATAGTCCTTCCGTCAGTTAAATGACAGGTGTCACGTTAAGTTGCTAAAAAATTATACTTTTTTTAAAAAAAATATTGACATGAAAAGAAAACATATGTAAGTTGATGAGGTGGCACTTTTTTTTGTTTACATGGCATTTTTAATTTTAACAAATAAATAAGAGATTGATTATTATTAATTAATTAAAATCATTTCGAAAATTTTCAAAATTA